ATGACTACCTATTCTTCGGAGCAGCTAGCTCGAATCTTCATCTGTGAGATCGTCAGGCTTCATGACGTACCGGTATCTATTATCTCTGACCGGGGTACGCAGTTTACATCACGGTTCTGGAGAGCTGTACAGCATGAGTTGGGTACTAGGGTTGCATTGAGCACAATATTTCACCCTCAGACGGACGGGCAATCCGAGCGCACTATTCGGATATTAGAGGATATGCTCCGTACGTGTGTGATAGATTTTGGAGGGTTCTTGGGACCAGTTCTTGCCACTTGCGGAGTTTGCTTACAACAACAGTTATCAGTTCAACATTCAGATGGCACCGTATGAGGCTCTGTACGGTAGGAGGTGTCGGTCCCCAGTGGGTTGGTTCGAGCCCGACGAGGCCAGATTATTGGGTACGGACTTGGTTCAGGATGCTTTGGAAAAGGTGAAGGTTATTCAGGATAGACTTCGCACAGCCTAGTCCAGACAGAATAGTTATGCGGATCGGAAGGTTCGCGATGTGGCATTCATGATTGGAGAGCGAGTCTTGCTCTAGGTTTCGCATATGAAGGGCGTTATGAGGTTTGGAAAGAAGGGCAAGCTGAGCCCAAGGTTCATTGGTCCATTTGAGGTGTTGCGGCGAGTTGGGGAGGTTGCTTATGAGCTTGCCTTGCTTCCCAGTCTAGCAGGATTTCATCCGGTATTCCATGTTTCTATGCTCCGAAAGTATCACGGCGATCCGTCTCATGTGTTGGATTTCAGCTCAGTCCAGTTGGACAAGGATCTATCTTATGTTGAGGAACCCGTGGCTATTTTAGGTAGGTAGGTAAGAAAACTAAGGTCAAAGAACATTTCTTCTGTGAAGGTTCAATGGAGGGGACAGCCGGTCGAGGAGGCGACTTGGCAGACCGAGCATGTTATGTGCAGCCGTTACCCCCAACTTTTTACCACTTCAGGTATGTCTTTATGCTCGTTCGAGGACGAACGATTGTTTTTAGAGAGGAAGGATGTAACGACCCGGCTGGTCGTTTTGAGAGTAATAGCCCCGATCCCCTATTTACTGCTTCTCCCATATCTATTTCTGCTATTGTGACTTGCCGGGAGGTTTCGTTTTGGTTTTTGGAGTGATTTGGGACACTTAGTCCCTAAACGAAAGCTTAAGTCTTAGGATTTTGACCGTAGTCGGAACTGTGTGAAGACAACTCCAGAATGGGGTTTCGTTGCCTTTGTTAGCTCCGTTGGGTGATTTTGGACTTAGAAGCGTGTTCGAATTATGTTTTGGAGGTCCGTAGCTCATTTATGCTGGAAAAGGCAAAAAGTCGAATTTTTAGAGTTTTGGGCCGGTAGTGAAATTTTTGATATCGGGGTCGGATTCTGATTCCGGAAGTTGGAGTAGGTCCATAATATTGAATACAACTTGCGTGCACAATTTGAGGTCATTCGAACGTGGTTTGATAGGTTTCAGCATCGGTTGTAGGAATTTGAAGTTTCAAGTTCTTTAAGTTTGAATTGGAGGGCGATTCGTGAATTTAGCGTTAGTTGATGTGATTTGAGGGCTCGACTAAGTTTGAATATTATTTTAGGATTGGATGATATATTTGGTTGAGGTCCCGGGGGCCTCGGGTGTGTTTTGGATGCTTAACGGATTGAATTTGGACTTAGGCTAGTAGTTGAAAATTTTCTGGTTTATGGTGTTTTTGCACCTACGGAGGCGAGACTGCAGGTGCGGAATCGCATGTGCAAAGGAGGAACCGCAGATGCGGTCAAGAAGGAGTTGAGCAGGAACCGCAGGTGCAAAGATTTTTCCCGCACCTGCGAAAGTCGCAGATGCGGGCAGCTGGGCGCAGGTGCGAAGGGAAGCCGCATGTGCGATGCATTTCCGCACCTGCGATAATCGCAGATGCGACAGAGAGTCAGCAGGTGCGAAATGGCTAGACATAACACTTAAATGCAAGTGTTCGCGATTTTTGCTCAATTTCAACATTTTGAGCTCGGGTTTGGCCATTTCTTGAGAGCATTTAGAGGGGGTTCGAGGTAAGTGGCTTGCCTAACTTTGTGTGGGGGAAATCCCCATAAGATTTGGAACTATTGTGATATGTGAGCGTCGTGTACGTGAGGTGACGAGTACATACACGTGCTAGTTGTGGAAAAACCTGATTTTCTTACTGAGCAGTAACCTGTTTTCCTTTTATTTTGAGTTATACCATTTTTATGAGTATTAATCTATTTTCATTCTTAATTGAGTTATTCCCATTTGCGTAGCTATCCTGTTTAGTCTAATACATCATGTCTACGTGTCTTAATTGCCTATGTGAACTCTGTGCAGCATGCTTAGTGAATTTCCTGCTTCTTCCTTGACTGGTACTTAGTCTAAATCGTAAGATTTCGTGATGTAGTTGCATTTCTATTGTTTGCGCTTCATATTTACTTTGGGACTACGGAACGGTATTCCGGGAGATCCCCCTGTACTGCATATTTACTTTGGGACTACAGAACGGTATTCCGGGAGATCCTCCTGTCTTGCATATTTACTTTGGGACTACGAAATGGTATTCCGGGAGATCCCCCTGTACATTTACTTTGGGACTATGGAACGGTATTCCAGGAGATCCCCCTACACCTTTACTTTGGGACTACGTTACGGTATTTCGGGAGATCCCCCTACACTTTTACGTTTGGGACTACGAGACGGTATCTCGGAAGATACCCTATTGTGTTTATTGTGGTATTACACTTTATATTTTTTTATTATATATTTACCAGTAGGGCCCTGACCTGACCTCGTCACTACTCGACCGAGGTTAGGCTTGGCACTTACTGGGTACCGATTGTGGTGTACTCATGCTACTCTCTGCACATATTTTTCGTGTGTAGATCCAGGTGCACCTTATCAGCCGCACTATCAGTGACCCGGGACAGCTTTGGAGACTTCAAGGTATATCTGCCGCGTTCGCAGACCTCAGAGTCCCCTTCCATTATCTTCTGTATTTTTCCTTGTTAGACTTTGATGTATAGAGACACTAGATTTTTCCTTCTGTAGTTTGTGATTCACGATGTTCCGGGTTTTGGAATTTGTTGTGTATTTTTGAATAGTGGGTTAAATTTATATTTTTATTTCATTATTCCGCAAAATGCTAGGCTTACCTAGTTGTAGAGACTAGGTGTTGTCACGACATCACACAGAGGGAAAATTGGGTCGTGACAGCGGTACCTCGGGAGATCCCCCTGTCATGCATATTTACATTTGGGACTACGAGGCGGTACTTCGGGAGTGCCCCTATTGTTTACCTCTATTTACTGTGCTGATATTTTCTGAAACTTCTTATTGTTTAAATTCTCAGTCATTTCAAAATATTATTATATCTTCTGCCTTACTTTTCTTTTAAACTAGTAGGGCCCTGACCTAACCTCGTCACTACTCTACCGATGTTACGCTTGACACTTACTGGGTACCGATGTGGTGTACTCATACTATACTTCTGCACATCTTTTTGTGCAGATCCAGTTCTTCCCACCAGATCTGATACCAGTGAGTTGGACCGCACATGGAGACTTCAAGGTATATCTGCCAGCGTCCGCAAACCTCGCAGTCCCCCTCTATCCTTACTATATTGTTTTCCTTATTCTCTTTAGACTCTGATGTATAGAGACACTTAGTATTTGCTCTTAGAAGCTTGTGACTTATTTCCACCGGGTTTTGGGAGTTATAATTATTGATTTGCAGTTTTATATTTATTTCATGTGTTGAGAATTGGACTTCAGTTTTATATTATGATATTTCGCAAATTATTAGGCTTACCTAGTCTTAGAGACTAGGTGACATCAAGACATCCTACGGAGGGTGAATTAGGGCCGTGACAGCGTATGATCGGAATCGAATTCGGAAGTCCCTAACTTGATTTAACGTAATTTGTTGAAAACTAATAATTTAATGGTTTAAAGGATTTCTAAGTTTGACAGTGAGTTGACTTTATTGCTACCGGGTTCAGATTTTGATTCCGGAACTTGGTATAGGTTCATTTCAGTATTTATGACTTGTTTGCAAAATGTGATGCAAATCAGAGTTGATTTGACGTTATTCGGACGTCCGGTTGAAAATTTTAAAGTTCTTAAGTTTCTTTTAAAATTATTATTTGTTTTGGTGTCCAATTCGTGGTTTTAGGTGTTATTTTGATGTTTTGATCATGCAAACAAGTTCATATGATATTATTACACTTGGGTGCATGTTTGGTTTGGAGCCGGAGGGGCTCAGGGTAGTTCGAATAAGCTACAAATGATTTTGAACTTAGAAACTTTTTGGTTTTTGACTTCTGCTGGTGTCTGAAGTGTTCTTTTTCGCGATTGTGAAGATACTCCCACGATCGCAAAGAGTAATCTGGGCTAGGGAGACTTTCCTTCATTGCGAACGCGATGGCTGGTTCGAGGACGCGAAGCTTTGGGAGGTTGCCCTTCGCGAATGCGGACAGACTCTCGCGAACGCATAGTGTTGAGGGACCTGGGAATGGGGATCTAGGGTTTTCTCTACGCGAACGCAAGCCCTGGCTCGCGAACGCGAAGGCATGGGGGGAGAAGCCTTGCGAACACGTGAGGAACCTCGCAAATGCATAGGCCACTCTGGCTGCTGTGCTTTGCGAATGCGGTAGGCCCTTCGCGAACGCGAAGAAGACCTGACACCCAGTCTATTAAATGTCCCAAAGACGGGATTTCACGCATTTTCACCATATTTGCATTAGAGCTCGGCCTAGAGGCGATTTGGAAGATAAATTTCCTCACCCTTTCATAGGTTAGTGTACTTTAACTTGTTTTCTTCCATTTCCATCAACACCCATTAATTTATTTTTTTTAAAATTAGGAAGTAAATAGATATTCTTCACCACCATAACTACTAACTATGTAAACAAAATTTGGAACTAAAATGCAAATTTGCAACTGATGCCGAGAAGAATTAGTAGTCTCAACTTCATAACAGCACATATGGAGAAAATAACAAGCTCAGAAACAAAGAAAAATCAATAGCCTCCTTTCAAATTGTTGACCACATAATATGGTATGGGAGTAACAAATTCCAAAGTAGCACCTTCAACCATGAACCCTGGTTTGGGTCCTTGAGGTTGCCTCTTTGTGCTGATAACGTCACCCCTAGCCTTAGCCTCGGCCTTTAGCTGATCGTTCTTCTTGATTCTTTCCTTGAATTCTTCGGTGCACCGGGAAAGTTGAACATGCTCAATCCTCGCATGGATCCTCTTTCGGAGGATTTTGTTACGAACCTGTTTGTTGTCTTCGACACCAAAAGCACGCTTGGTGACATTCCAGACGCGTCTAGTACGACCATGGTATAACTTATGGGGCATGCCCTTGTGAACGGTGTCGTTCACTTTGACATCAACATAGTCACCGGCTTTGAAGATCTTGAGGTAGGTGGAAAGAGGGATTACTTCCTTCTTTCTGAAGGCGCGAGAGAATGAATCCCTTGTCCGAGACCTTAATCCATGGCCGACCAGCATTTTCCTCTGCGGAGTGCTCTCTGTGTGTTTCTGTGAAGAGAAACAGACACCCATTAATTTCTAACCTTAATCTATGTTCTTTCATGGTAGAAAATTATGGATTTGGGAAGAATTGGGGGGGGGGGGGGTTTAAATTAGGGATTTAGACCTCAAATTTAGTTCGAATTTTGAAACTAATTACATAATTGGGCTCGGGGGTGAATGGATGGGTTTTGGTCCGAATTTTGAGTTTTGACCAAGCGGGCCCAGGGTTGACTTTTGTTGACTTTTTGTAAAAAGCATAAAGATCTTTACTTTATGTATTGTAATTGATTTCTCCAGCATTATTTGATATTATTGAGTCGCGTTTGGTTAGATTCGATTGGTTTGAGGCGTATTTTAGAGGAAAGGCCCCGATTGAGCTTTGATTTGCTTGCGGAGCAAGGTAAGTGTTGGGTCTAATGTTGATTTGAGAGAATAGTAACCCTTGAGTTGTGTGTTATGTGAATTACATGTATAACAGCGTATATGCGAGATGACGAGCGTATATACACCGTCAAAGTAATTGTTTCCATGCTTTTCCGTATTCAATTAATTATTTTATTCCATGTCTTAATTGTTACATGCTTTAACTGCCTCCTATGCCTTAACTTGCTACTTTTCATTTGTTATTCTTGTATTAAAATATTAGTTTCTTCCATGCTTCAATGATTAATTGCTACTTGTCTTAATTGTCTTACTTGTACACTTTAACTGTCATTTATTTGGCTTGTCTTGTTGCTTAGTATTAATGGTAGCATTTCTTGATTCGGTACAAGATTCCTTTATGGATTTCCCTTCATATTCGTTAATCGTAGAGATTCTTGTGATTTAAGTTGCTCAGTTGATTACATTTATTAATTTTTATTTATGGATCGGGTTGCACGCCGCAATGGGTGGAATAAGAGAGAATTGATATTGATATGGTGGGATCGGGTTACACGCCACAACGAATTTTGTATGTGATTTTGATATGGTGAAATAAGGGAGGAATAGGAAATTGATTCTGATTATATGGTGGGATCGGGTTGCGCGCCGCAACGGATTTTACATGTTATTATTGATATTGATATGATGAAATAAGATAGGATTCTGTTTGTACGGTGGGATCTGGTTGAACGCCGCAACAAGTGAAATAAGGGAGGATTGTGTTTGTACGGTGGGATCAGGTTACGCGGCGTAACAGATTGTGTGTTTTATATTCATTATTGTACTGTGTTAGATTTTGATTCTTTTATATGAGATTCTGAGTGCTGGTGTTTCTGGTTTCTTTACCGATTCCGAGGATTGAGTTTATTTTCATAAGTTAACTGCCTTAATTTTTTGTATTCCTTTCTTGTTATTATTATTATTATAATGCGTACAGGTTATTGTAAGTGACCCACCTTAGCCTTGTCACTATTTCGTCGAGGTTAGTCTCGGCACTTATAGAGTACATGGGGTCGGTTGTACTCATGCTACACTATGCATTTCTTGTGCAGATTTTGGAGTTGGTCCTAGCGGTGGTCAGTAGATTGCTCGGATTGATTGTTAGATTTGGAGACTTGAGGTAATGTTGCTCGGCGTTCGTAGCCCTGAAGTCCCCTTCCACCTTATCCTAGATGTTTATTATATTTCAGACGGTTTTACTTTCATTCAGACCATTATCTGTATTAATCTAATCGCTCGTGCGCTTGTGACAACAGTTCTCGGATTGTATCAAGATATTGCGGTTATTATGGTTTCTCATACTCTATTTCAGTTCTATTACAGTTATTACAGTTTAATTGGTATCGGTTAGTTTGATTTGTTAACAATGGCTAAAAACTATTCCAACGTTCGCATGCCTAGCAAGTGAAACTTTAGGTGCCATCACGATCCCGAGGGTGGGAATTCCGGGTCATGAAAAGCTGGTATCAGAGCACTAGGTTGCCTAGGTCTTACGAGTCATGAGCAATCTTAGTAGAGTCTTGAGAATCGGTACAGAGACGTTTGTACTTATCTTCTAGAGGCTATGGAGTTTAGGAAAACTTTCAATTCTTTCTTTCTTTATCGTGCGATTTTATTCTATCATTGATGATTGAACCATTCTATTCGTGTTCTCTCGCATATTGAGAGAACATGCACTGCATCTACAGTTGGACAGGAGCTGGAACCCCCAGTGGCAGCTACGACCAGGGGTGGAGGTCGAGGCCGAGGTCGCACCAGAGGCCGAGGCAGAGCTCAGCCTACAGCTCGAGCAGCAGCAGTACCCGCAGTGCAGCCTCAGGTATATTTTGAGGAGGAGGTTCCAGCTGAAACTGTACCTGTCGGACTAGCTCAGGTCCCGGAGGGGTTCATAGCCACTCTAGTGCTTCAGGACGCTCTAGTCCATTTGGTGGGCCTTATAGAGAGTGTGGCCCAGACTGGTACCTTCCCGGTGGCACCAACCATCTTTTGGGATAGGGGATGGGCATATACTCCCGCTACTCACACCCCAGAGCAAGTGGATCCCCAGTATCAGACTCTAGTAGCCCCGCCGGTTGGGGTGGTTCAGCCAATTGTTGCGGCACGGGCCGGTGATAGGCCCGCCATGTCTTCTGAGGCCTTATTGAGGTTGGACAAGCTTACGAAGATCTTCCCTATTCACTTCAGTGGTGCATCTTCTAAGGATCCATATGATTATCTAGACCACTGCCATGAGGTGCTGCGGAACATGGGTATAGTCGAGACCAATGGGGTCGATTTTGCAACATTTCAGATGACTGATTCCGCCAAGAGGTAGTGGAGAGATTATATGTTGACTAGACCAGCTGGGTCGCTTGCACTTACTTGGGATTAGTTCTCACAGCTATTTCTAGAGAAGTTCATTCCTGTCACTCTAAGAGAGGAGTACCGCAGGCAGTTTGAGCGTTTTCAGCAGGGTAGTATGACTGTCACCCAGTACGAGACTCGATTTGTGGACATCGCTCGCCATGATATTATCTTGCTTCCTATTGAGAGGGGGAGAGTGAGAAGATTTATTGATGGGCACACTTACACTATCAGGCTACAGATGGCCAAGGAGACTGGGGGTGATATTTCTTTCCAGACGGCCGTAGATATTGCTAGACAGATCGAGATGGTTGGTGCTCAGGAGAGGGGGCCAGTGTCTGATCAGAGGCCTCATCATTCCGATAGTTTTAGTGGCGCCTCATCTGGAGGCAGGGATACTTTTGCTAGAGTCCATCCTCCCAGGCCACTTCAGTCAGTGCTTCAGGCATCTCATAATACTTCAGGGAGTCATGGTCCTTATGTGCCTCATTCTAGGCAACCAGCCTACAGTGCACCATCAACTCCTATTAGTGCGCCTCCAATTAAGAGCTATCACCTTGGTTATTCAGCCCGTTCGGGTTAGATTCAGCTTCAGCAGCCACAATTACAGGATGGGTATTTTGAGTGTGGAGGTACTGGTCACATTAGGATTTTCTCTTCGAGATTGTTGGGCGGCATGCCAAAGAAGAGTTCTCGTGCCATAGTTCCGGCATCGGTTGCGCCACCGCCCGCTCAGCCAGCTAGAGGCAGGGGTCAGGCAGCCAGAGGTGGAGGTCAAGCCGTTAGAGGTGGAGGTCAGGCCGTTAGAGGTAGAGGCCAGCCAGCTAGAGGCCTTCCTAGAGATGTAGGATAGAGTGGCAGGGCCCAGGCCCGACGTTTTTATTTCCCAGCTAGGCCTGAGGCCGAGTCATTTGACGTCATTATTACAGGTATTGTTCTAGTTTGCCGTAGAGATGCTTTAGTTCTATTTTATCTGGGATCTACTTATTCCTGCGTGTTATCCTATTTTGCTTCATATCTGGTTGTGCCTCATGATTCTTTGAGTGCTCTTGTGTATGTGTCCACGCTTGTGGAAGATTCTATTATTGTAGATTGCGTATATCGCTCGTGTGTGATTACAATTGGGAGTCTTGAGACTAGCGTAGATTTTCTACTTCTTGATATGGTAGATTTTGATGTTATCTTGGGTATAGATTGGCTGTCACCTTATCATGCATTATTGGACTATCACGCCAAGATGGTGACCTTAGCCATGCCGGGGTTGCCTCGATTAGAGTGGAGAGGGACTCCTGGCCACTTTACCAGTAGAGTTATTTCTTATGTGAAGTCTTGGCGTATGATCGAGAAATGATTTCTAGCTTATTTGGCCTATGTACGTAATTCTAGTGCGAAGGTTCCTTCCATAGATTCAATACCAGTTGTTCGTGAGTTTCCAGAGATATTTCCTGCAGATCTGGCGGGGATGCCACCTGACAGGGACATTGATGTTTGTATCGATTTGGCTCCGGCACTCAACCCATTTCTATTCCACCATACCGTATGGCCCCGCCAGAGTTGAAGGAATTGAAGGAGCAGTTGCAAGATTTGCTTGATACGGGCTTCATTTGACCTAGTGTCTTGCCCTAGGGTGAGCCCGTGTTGTTCGTGAAGAAGAAAGATGGGTTAATGAGAATGTGTATAGATTATCGGTAGTTGAACAAGGTTACTATCAAGAACAAGCATCCACTGCCAAGGATTGTTGACTTATTTGTTAAGATTCAAGGCGCTAGAGTGTTTTCGAAGATTGATTTGAGGTCTGGCTACCATCAGTTGAAGATTAAGGCATCCTATGTCCTTAAGATGGCTTTTCGGACTCGATATGTGCATTATGAGTTCCTAATGATGTCATTTGGGTTGACAAATGCCCCATTAGTATTTATGAATTTGATGAACCGTGTGTTCAAGCACTATTTGGATTCTTTTTTTATCGTATTCATTGATGATACCTTGATCTACTACCACAGTTGAGAGGAGCATGAGCAACATCTTTGGATTGTACTTCAGACTTTAAGAGATAGCCATTTATATGCCAAGTTTTTAAAGTGTGAGTTTTGGTTAGACTCAGTCACCTTTTTGGGGCATGTTGTATCGGTAGAGGGCATAAAGGTGGATCTTAAGAAGATTGAGACACTTCAGAACTATCCTAGACCTACTTCAGCTATAGAGATCCG